GGCTGGTTGCTGGGAAGGATTCCTATTGGCCCCTGCAGACAGTAGCTCTGGGTCACTAACCAATGGCATCATATGATGCAAATGAACTTGCTATCTGTGTGTGGATTGGCCGGGTGTCCTGTGATGTCACAATCCCACTAGTACCCCCCATTGACCCCCTCCTGGAGCCCATGTCTTAGGCCCCACCCACGAGGCCTCGTCCCACCTGCTTCTCTGCTGGTTTTTCAGAGGGGTGGGGGGCAGCACCCTCGTTCTGAGCCCCGACTCCCCCCCCCCCCCGTCCGCATCACACTTTCGGCCTGGCGGGGGAGCGGTGGTGGTGTGCACAGTCACACTCAGGTCTGGTGCTCATGCTGACTGCTGCACGCGCAGCCTCTTGCACGCCCACGTCACAATCTCGCACGCCCCTGGGCCCCCCCGGGGCAGCCCTGCTGACCGCCCGCTCCCCCCCAGACAAGCAGAACGACGTGGAGATCCCCTCCCCCACGCCGAAAGAGCGGGAGAAGAAGAAGAAGCAGCAACCCATGTGCCAGATCAGCGGGGTGAAGAAGCTCATGCCCAGCTCCAGCCTGGCCAATTCCAGCGTCCCCCGCTTCGGGGTCAGAACCGACCAGGAGGAGCTGCTGAGCCAGGTGCGGGGCAGGGCTGCGGAGGGGCCGGGGGACTGGCTGGGCAGCCAGGCCTCCCTGCCCTCCCCCCCACATCTCACCACCTCTGTCCTGCCTTCCAGGAGCTGGAGAATCTCAACAAATGGGGCCTGAATATTTTCCACGTCTCCGAATATTCCAACGGCCGCTCCCTCAGCTGCATCATGTACACGATATTCCAGGTGGGGCCCGTGTGCGGGGGCAGTAGCGCCCACCCCTCTGGGCAGCGCATGGACTCAGACCGGACACCCGCCTGACCAGGGATGCGCAGTGCAGGGCTGGGAGCCAGGAGACCTGAGTTCTGTTCTCAGCTCTGGAAGAGGCGTGGGGTCTAGCGGTTAGAGTCAGTGGGGAGCTGGGTATCAGGAGTCCATCTACCCCTTGCTCTTCTCTGTCAGCTGATTAGCAGTTTCTGTTGATGGTGCACATCCACAAGCACCTCGGTGCACAGAACAAAATTTATTCTGCACGTGGATGCAAAAATTCGAGGGAGCGCTGCCTGGGGGCTGAGTGGGGGCTGGAGCTGAGGGGAGGGGGTTGCCACGTGTCCAGCCCACAGGGGTGACCAGCGCCGGTCCCTCAGACGTGACTCTGCCCAGTCACAACCTGCTCTCGCCCTCAGGAGAGAGAGCTGCTGAAAACCTTCAAGATCCCCGAGGAGACGCTGCTGACCTACATGCTGACGCTGGAGGAACACTACCACGCCGACGTGGCCTATCACAACAGCCTGCACGCGGCCGACGTGGTGCAGTCCGACGTGAGTGAGGGCCCCCCGCCGGGGGCATCGCACCGGTGTCAGGAGCACGGGTGGGGCGGGGCAGGGACAGCTCGTGGTAAGGCTGGGGGTCTGGGGACACAGCCCAGGCTGGCGGGGGGAGTGTCTCTCTGGAAATGAGACTGAAACAAATTTGGGGGCTGGGGGGCGGGCTGTCCTGTCCATCTGCCCCCCAGCCGTCTGCCTGCCTGCCTTGGGCAGGTTTCAGCAGCTGGAATCGGACCCCCTACCAGGGTGACACCCCCCGAGAGCCAGGCCAGAGTCTGAGGACCAGGTCCAGGCCGGGAGTCCTGTGCTCCTTGCTCTGCCACATGCTGCCCCCGCCCTCACGCTGCGTGTGCCTTGCAGGCCGTGTTCACCGACCTGGAGATCCTGGCCGCCCTGTTTGCAGCCGGAGAGCCAGGCCAGAGTCTGAGGACCAGGTCCAGGCCGGGAGTCCTGTGCTCCTTGCTCTGCCACATGCTGCCCCCGCCCTCACGCTGCGTGTGCCTTGCAGGCCGTGTTCACCGACCTGGAGATCCTGGCCGCCCTGTTTGCAGCCGCCATCCACGACGTGGATCACCCGGGCGTGTCCAACCAGTTCCTGATCAACACCAGTGAGTGCCCCACTACCCTGCGCCTGAGCCGACAGGATGCCCCGG